ATTATTAAAGCCACCACCTTAAAAGGATTATGGGTGACGTTAACCTACAATTAAACTTTGGTACATCTTGTTCTCATTTTTTTCTCTCCATAGTAGTTTTTTTTCCAAATATAATCATTTTTAAAAATATCAGTATGTGGAAAAGTATATAGAGAAAAGAAAATATAAACTACCAGAAATTCCCACCTTCAAAATAATCCCTAAACCCTATTACCTTAAGGTGACCTTCATTTCTGCTCTCCCTAAGCATAACACACACAAAGATAGGTCTATTTTAAACACGGCCAAGTATGTGACGCACAAATAGTTTGACTTGGAGTGTTTCAAGTTAAAGATCTATCATCACCACGTCCTATTACAATCTTTTTAATATAGTTGCAAAATTGTCATAGTTACATAATGGTTCATCATGCACTTTTCTTGTACTGTATGTTTTGAGTATTTCCAACCTTTCATGATAGTAAGTGAGTATTTTTATACTTAGAGCTTTTACACTCCTCCTACCTGGAAAACTCCAATCTACTATCCTATTCCTTTTGTGATTTCTTCTATTGGTTTTAGAAAGAGAAAGTTCTTCCCCACCCAAAGATCAGAATATTTATTGTTTGATTTCTTTTCTTTCCTTTTCTTCTTTTTAAACTTAGTTCCTTAATCTATGGGCTATGTTTTTAAATATTGTTAAAGATTCCAAACTTACTTGTCACATGTTTAAGTTTTAGGAAAAGCTAAAGTTATTTGCCCAACATTTTCAAATGCACATTTACATTTTTCAACGATATCCATGTCTCATAGTCTTGGCTTTCTACTAAGCCTCAGAAAGCCTTCAGGACTAACAAAATAACCAGAGCTTTGATTATCAACAGGAAATCACAGGAGGGGGACAGGAATAAAAAGGACACTCATATAGGCCAAATTAAAGCGAAACAATCAAAAGATCCAAGTTCCTAGCCTTAGTGGTTTGATTATTTTAGCCTTTAAAAGTCTCAGAAGTTCCAAGGTTAACTTAAGTACATAGTTAAAAGACAGTTTTCAGTGCTCTGGGGCTTATTCTCGATGTGGACTGGTCACCATTGATCTCGTTCAGTGACCAAGGGCAAACTCTACCCCTCGCCATTGGCCAGGAGCAGAACAGGTGAGAACGCAGGGTACAAGCTCACCTCCCGCTCAGTAGAAAAACAACACAAAGGACGTGCCTTACTGGCTGACAGTAGGTCAACAGAAGCATCTTTGAGTATGAAGAGCAGCACAGATACCAGAGTTTATATGGTTGTTTCTCATTAATAAAAAATATTGGATTATATTTCCCAAGAACATCCACTTCTCATACTAATTTTTTTTTTTTTTTTCCCCACCAGAGCATTCCCCTGAGGCACAACGCTGTTACTGCTGCTACCTTCCACGACTTGGGATAAAGTGCATAACCTTCCCAGGAACAGTTTCCTTGACCGTAAAATGATGAGAAGGACAACTGGCCTCTTAGGGTTGTTGTGAGGAGTACCTAAGAGGCTTAGGACAGGGACTGCCCTTAGGAAATGGTTTTATATCAGCTGTTGTTGTTGATCTGTTATTACTACTGCTACCTCTCCTACTCCTGCTATGACTATTATAACCACTCCTGCCAGAAATGCCAAAACGTAAGACTTGGTCGGGTTTTTCAGAATGAAAGGGGGAACTGGAGAGGTCTGTGGTCAGATCAGCCTCAGAAGTAAAGTCTGTCCTCAGGCTTTGCAATCTGTCTGGGAAGTTAGTATTTACAGTCACCGTGAAACAGTGAGTGTCCAGGGTGGGGGGCACCACAATCCCCCCCACACACACACACACACACTTTCTGATACACCAGCACAAGACTCTTGCACATCAGCCCCTTCAGTGAGCAGAGCTAAGCAAGGACCCAGGGGTTACAGGGCGCCTGGGTGGCTCAGCTGGTTAAGCGTCTGTCTTCGGCTCAGGTCATGGTCCCAGGGTCCTGGGATCGAGCCCCACATCGGGCTCCCTGCTCCACGGGAAGTGGGCTTCTCCCTCTGCCTGCCACTCCCCCTGCTTGCGCGCTCTCTCTCTTTGACAAATAAATAAATAAAATCTTAAAAAAAAAAAAAAAGAAGAACCCAGGGGTTAGGTGTGAAAAAGGCAGTGGGTAGCACTGTTCCCTGGAGCCTTTCTGTGAATCCTACAAGGTCCGAAATTGCAACCAAGAGCCAACACCTCCCCAAACGGGCACTGCGAAGATCCAGACCAGGGGGTGGAATAAGAGCCATCAGGACCATGAATGGATTTATCGAGGTTCCGCAGTCAGAAAACTTACTTCTAATATCACATTTACGCCTACAGATTCATTTCCTTCCTCCTAGTGCCTATCTTCCACGGCCAGTGAGTTCTCTTGATGTTTGGAGTGTGGACCAATTCATACTGACACCGTTTGCCTAAGGATTTGTCTCTGACCTCAAAGCTCTGAATCCTTGTAAAAGAAAATAAGGATCACATGCTTCTGCATCACGAGCTAGGTTCATAAGCCATCTGAGATTTAGGAGACATGGAGAGGACTCTGAATACCAGCAAGAAGCCATGTTTGATAAAAAGTAACCAGCTCAAAGCTTCACTTAAAATTATATGGTATGGAATGAGAAAAATACCCGTCTCTACTTGATTTCAGGCAAAAGGCAGAGACGTAACAAAACTAAACCAGCCCAGCAAGATGAGAACAAGAATTATAGCACATGTTCCAAACCTAGAGTCAGGAATAAGATTTGCTTAGCTACTTTACGCTCAAATTCCAGATTCTGAACACCCTACTCTATGGTCTTTTTTTTCCTCCCCATGTTTGAAGGAAACTATTTTAATGAATATTCTTTGGGAAAACCCTAAAATCTGGCTGGCTTTTAGGGAGTTTCCCCCTCTTATTCTATACTTTGCCACATTTGTTTATTTGTGCTTCTACTCAGTGGTATTTCTCCTCTCTTGTTGAAAGGCTGTGAAGCCCTTGGGAACACAGAAACCTATCTCCCAAACAAAAATGAGTCTTATGTGAGCTTTTTCAGACTCTTATCTGTGCCAATTAAGCATAAATAATTAATGAGCAAAACAGTCTTAACATTGTTCTTTAAAATCATGGGACAGGGCACCTGGGTGGCTCAGTTGGTTAAGCGACTGCCTTCGGCTCAGGTCATGATGCTGGAGTCCCT